ACGGGCCCCCCCCACCGGCCCCCGGTGATTCCACCATGGCTTGTCCCTGCCAGCTCGTGTGCCGTGGGGCAGGCAGCTGCCGGTGTTCCCGGTATCGCTCTGGAGCCTTCCCTGGACAAGCAGGAGACTAGAAGATGTCTCCTGGAGAAGGCGGTGGTGGGAGAATGTATTCTTCAAGTGATGACTACTGGGGGAAAAATACCTTTTAAGGGGGAAAAAAAAAAAACCCTGAAGATTTCACTTTCTCATAAAAATTTCCATTTGACCAAGGAGCTGCTTTCACAGGGGGGTGTCTCCTGGCTCTGAGGGTGACGGGGACAGCCCCAGCACCGGGACCACCGTCTCCATCGCCCTGAGCCCAGCGCCTGCCATGAGACCCCAGACCACCCCCGGGGTCCCCTCTGGGATGGTGTTACCCTCATGAGGCCACTGTGGCCATCCCCGCTCCTGCCCCTCGCTCCTCCCAGGACGCTCGTTTGGGGACGCTCTCGTTACTGAAGCAGCAGGAGGGGTTTTGAGCCAGACCCCACAAGGACCCCCCAAGTCGGCCCTTCCCCAGGTCTTCCCCACCCCGAGCAGCTCCCAGCCGAGCTCCTGTACCGGGGCTCACCCACAGCAGAGAGCACAGTGCTGCTTGGTAATTTAATCAATGAGAAGCCAATTAATTGCATGCTAATGAGAATCGAGCCCTGTGCTGTCCCCAAGGGCAGGTGCTGGGGATTATAAAGTCAATGTCCAAACCAGCAGCTGGGGCCACGCGGGTGCCCCCTCCCCGGGCCAGGAGCTTTGCCAGGGCCTTTCCCCAGCAGTGGGACATGATTTTGGGATCCAGCAGCTCCCTCCGCCCCTCCGCAGAGATTTCAGTGCCAATCTCCGTGCCGGGTCCCCAGCTCTGCCCGCTCTCCCCTTCCTGCCGCTGCCTACGCCCCCCGACAGCCACAGCGTGTCCCCCCCGAGCACCACCCCAGCACCCTCCTCGGGTGCAGGGGTCCCCCCTCGCCGGCCCTTCCCGCGGTTATTGCTTCGGCGAGCGGGTGCGGAGCTCTGCGGGCAGCCGGCGCCGTCCCTCGGGCTCAGCACAGCCAAATGCCAGCGCCCAGGACAGCGTCCCCGCGTCCCCGTCGCGACAAAGACCGAGCAGGCTCCGAGAGCGTGTGTCCCACGGTTCCTGAAGCTCTCCTCCCTTGCCTGGGCAGGCAGGATTTGTACCGGTGACACCATCAAAACAAAGACCGGGTGAAACGCAAACGGCAAACGAGCTGAGTCGCAGCGACTAATTAAGCTTTCTCGCTAATTGCTTCGAAGCCCGGCGCGACCAGCAGCGCTCAGGCGGGTTCCCTCGCCCGCAGGCCTGTGCCCAGCCCGCCGGGCGATGCAGATGGTGGCCGGAGCGGGAGCATCGGTTTCCCCGAGAAGCCACCCTGGCTTCAGACACCGCCATCCCCTCCCTCCCTCCGCGGCTGCAATAACCTGCCGGTGGAGAAGGACGTTAATTATTACTGAGCGGCTCCTCGGAGCAAGGAAACGACACCGAGCCTCCGGCTGGCAGAGGACGGGCAGCGAAGGAAAACCAAGGGTTGAGGTTTTTAACTGATTAAAATAAAAAGCAGAAGCTGCCTCACCCCGACGCCACCTTCCTGGCTCCCACATGGGGGAAAAAAAAATTGGATTAAGGTTTTCTGTTCTGTTACCGAGAAAAAACGTGCCCCTTTCCCAAGGACCGAGGTAGCCTGGTTTTTGTCTGGAGACAGACGCATCCTGGTCCAGAGATGGTTCCCTCCAGGCCGGAGCGAGGTGTTACGACGGTGTTAGTACGGACGCAAAGAGCAGCCGGGGGAGAGAGAACAAGCGAGGGGCAGCACGCGGCCAGGGCCTCCCCACCCCGAGGAAGATGGTCGGGGGCTTGGATGCCTCTCGGGGGAGCCGAGGCTCACCCTGCGGTGGGTCCCAGCCGGGAGGGGCAAGGCGAGGGCGACATGCCCGAACGCAGGACCCGTGATTGTCACTTGAAGCTGTCCCCCGGCCCTGTCACACACCTCCCGTGCCTGCAGCTGGCTGACCGCAACCCCGTTCCCCTTTCCTGGGCAATCAGCACCTTTGGGATGGGGCGCGATGGGGCCCCTGCGTCGCCCTTTCCGCCAGCCCGACCTGCCCGCCCGACG